TCTGTAAGCAGAGCAGTTTTGGATGTATATACACTATAGTACCTTGGCAAGGAAAACAGAGACCACTATACATTGTCATGTACAGACGTCAATAAAGATTTGCGATTCAGTGTGATTATCTTTTAATCCTATGCATAGAAGCCAAGATTTAGGGCAGGAATGTGTATGCAACTTAGAAATATCTTGATGAAAGCTAATGAGGAGGGCAAAGAAATAAGAGATACTGACTGACAAGATGAGTCGTAGGAGTGATTAAGAAAAGTACCAGCTAAAAATAAGCTAGCTGGGAAACTGACAATGGTTGATACCTTGGAAGTCATGAGAAATTTCTGTACATGTAAAGAAGGGGGTAAAAATCCAAAGTCATATAATAAAGTGAATAAACAACTTAAAGCATATAGATTTTCTCTAAGCCCCAGAGATGTTCTTGGTCATTGTTTCTATCAATGGCTTTGAGGCAAAGAGAGATTCTTACTGGTGCTAAAGATTAAAAACTTCACACTTAAGTGATTCCTAGAATTCTAGGTAGCTGATTTAGTCATTAAGTCTCAGAATGAGTCATTATACAGGAAAAATACTGGAGAAGTGAGAATGTAGTCAATTACCCCAAAAAATATGAACGAGATTAGAGTAGGGAAAGAGCAACAAAGTTTACTTTTTCCTATTCCAGCTTAAAATATAGCTTTGTAATGTGTTATAATTAATACTATCTTTTAGGATGTATTAAAAAGTTTCCATTCTGTCAAGTAAGTACAGAAGAAGGTAAAGGAAAGATCTGGTGGAATCTTCGAAAAACTTGTTACAGCATTGTTGAACACAACTGGTTTGAAACTTTTATTGTCTTCATGATCCTTCTCAGTAGTGGTGCTTTGGTAAGTGACATGTACACTGGCAAGTATGAGGTTCTAGTGAAATATTTAGCTTCAAAAATATCAGAAGCATACACTAAGTTTAAGGCACAAAAGAGGCCTATCTGTAGCTTGCAGAGCTTGGCACTCAGGTTTAACTAAACAAAATTGAATACAGGGTAAATCAGAAGCATAAAACAGATGGGGTTTCTCATCTGGTGTTTATCCAACAGATGTTTTCTTTACTGAGAAACCATTTACAATGACATTCTGTAACTATATTACCTTCCATGTCAAATATAATCCAGTTTTCACTAATACTCATATTAACCATTATAGAGTAAAGTTATATTGTGTTTTTCTCAAATATAATCTATTTACTTTTTCAAAATAGAACACTCAGAGAATCACAGAAAGTAATATTGGAATAGGCCCATTCTGTCCCCCATTAACAGAATGTCAAGTTATTTTCTAAGTTCATGTTACCTCTCAAAAATCAGATCTAGTTGAGATAGAAATTTTGACATGAGACGGGACAAAAAGCAACACTAAACCCTTAAGGATACTGACATTTACTTGCCTGTTAGTTTTAACCTTTCATTGCTGTCTAATATTCAGTGTTGTTCTGACAATTAGTCATTATCAGATAGTTGCTTTTGTGCTTACTAGTAAACTAAACACCCTTACCAAGTATTTGGGGGATGCATACCATCCAAGTAAAATAAAATATTCTCAATTCACAGGCTTTTGAAGATATATACATTGAACAGCGAAAGACTATCAAAACGATGCTAGAATATGCTGACAAGGTCTTCACTTACATATTCATTCTGGAAATGCTTCTCAAGTGGGTAGCTTATGGATTTCAAACATATTTCACTAATGCCTGGTGTTGGTTAGATTTCTTGATCGTTGATGTAAGTATTCTGAGTGATTTTTATTACAATTTATTTAGGAGGCAAGTTTGATATTTCATATACTTCTATGATTAAAACCCTATCACAATCTAAGTACACTAATGTTGAACATAATTATGCAATCTTTTAAAAACTACATAAATGAAAAATGTTTCAAAGAAACTACAGAAGTCCTAAAAATGTTGACTGTGTCAATGGAATATGCCACATATAGACAGCAGTTATTTTTTATGGAAGGTAAGGACCAATATTAAAAGAGTAACCACAGATCCTTCACAGATCTATGCACTTAGCTTATTAGCCAATTGAAAATAACAATGACCTCTCCAGGAGTATAATCAAGACAGATTTGGGAGCCTAAAGTCTAAAGAATTAGACTTTAACCCCTTACTAATATATATGTTGCTAAAAAAATTTTTTTAAAAATTTACGGTATTCATCCAGTTATATGTCCACGGACACTATAAATGAATTTTCACTCATAATTCAGTAGTTAGATATACCAGTAAATGGTCAGACATCTACATGCAAAGGGTTAGGTGCAGAAGCCCTTCTTGCAGTCTAGTTACCTTCTGGTGAGCATGGACATTGCCAATTTTGAACTGTCTGACTTGCAGCCTTATTTCTTTTTCTTTTAATATTAAGCAATGATGAGGTACTGGGGCATAATGATAGTCATCTGGGTGTTTATAGTTTGTGATCATCCATTGCACAGAGCTGCACAAAACAAGTGTTTTAGGCACTATCTCTAAGCACTATTTCTGTTTCTAAACAATGAGAAAGCAATTTATATTTAGTTCTAACAATGGTCAATATGAACCAATGATTGTTCTGTATATGCATTCATTCTTTTTATCATTTTTGACAATGGTGTGAGCATATCTAAAGTATACTTCCCTTTCTCCTACAAGTATACTCACAATTCT